AAAAAATCTTGCACCCTTTGTTCCTTAGGTCCACTGGACTGGAACGCAGGCACTAATGTGCCTGGGTTCCGGGTGTAGGCGATTGCACTGAGGGCGAGGGGCCTGGCTGCAGTGCCATTGACTTCAATACACCGCCACGCCCCCTCCCGCCCATGAATGCAGGTGTTTTTTCGTTGGTAGATCTCATTGAGCTCGTCACTTGAAAAGTAGATCTCCAGACGAAAAATTGTGGGCGCCCCGGAACTAGACAGTGCACAATGTGGTCTGAGGAAGCAGACTTCATCTGTGAAATGCGTCACTACTGCTTTGCGACAAGTATCTCCTCATTTATCTAAGATACTCTCTGTAATCCTGTATATATGTAAACATGGTCTGATGACATTATATCTTGGCGGCTTCAAAGAAAAACCCTGGGCAAAACGTTTATTAACCCTTGCAGTGTAGCTATCTGTGCACTGCAAGGGTTAAGTCCTCATTTTGGTCTAGAGAGGACAATAACAAAGTTATACTCACCTGATCCTTGGAGCCGAATGGCTGTCACAACGCTTCCACCAGCCTGTCTTCTCCTACACTGCAGTGATAGTATGTCCATTGGAGTCCTCATGCCTATCTACAGTGTACTGGACGTGATGACTCGAGGCTCCTTAGACCGCTGCAGTGAAGTGTTAGTTAGATGGATGGACTGTTGTAAGAGCAAGCCGGCGAGTATAACTTTTTTAACACACAAGACAAAAACGAGCAGTTAACCCCTGCAGTGAGGGGGAAGCCCACTGCAAGGGTTAATAAATGTTTTGCTTGAAGTTCTTCTTTAAGTGTACCACTACTTGACAAACAGGGAGTAGGGGCTAGGTTATTGTGCAACCAATATCGATATTAGAACTGCAATGGTCAACACATTGGAGTAATGTATTATTTTATATGTTGATTTTGAATGATGAGTGTAATACACTTTTAACTATATCAACTAAGAGGCTTTTTTTTATACATGATTGGATTAATTCTTTCTCTCAATTGATTTTACTGTATTATCAAACACCTGAAAAATCCTATGAATTGGACTCTTTTTCAACTGTTAATAAAAGATCTAACCAGAACTCCTCAGATTCTCATCGCTTTCTGTCCCAGAGACAATGATCACCAGGACCAAAATTGAGGGTAGTGTAAACTGTCCTTCCTTCTGGAGGGGGGCTACTTTTGTTCCCCATAGTCCCTGTGTGTGTTGTAAAGTAGTCCCCTCTCCAAGCTAGCTCCCATTATGGACTACAATCTCACGTTTAGTTTACTAATTTGTATTGTGATTGTAGTCCATCATGGGAGTGAGCTTTGTGCCGTCACTACTTTACAACGGGACCATGGGGAACAAAAGTAGCCACCCCCCAGAAGGAAGGTCAGTGTCAGCACCAATTCAGAGATGATTTGAGGATCTACAGCCGAGTGATACACACATAAGATAGATTTCTGTTAATAGTTAGGATACTTGAATGCATTTTTAAGATTTCACTCCTGAGTTTAGTATCACTTTAGAATACAGGTCTTCTAGTAGTAGATGTATGCCTGTGCAGCAAATAGATCTACCTGGTGTACTTGCTGTGACTACGTTGTAACTAACAATCAAAGTCACAGAGAATGTTCTGAGAACATAAAGCATTCACTCGTATTTGGTGATCTCCAGTGATTACCTATTTTGGGGTTTGTTTGTTTTTTTTAATTGTTCTTCTTCTACCCCTTACTGACACTCTCTAACATCCCAGCAAAAAAAAAAAAAAATTAGAAAAAGACTTCTAACTGGACTCATGCCAGTCTCAAAGACACAAAATGCACGCCATAAAGAAATACGTTTATTTCTGCACAGACGGGGTTATTTTTGCAAACACAGCAGTAAGTGCTTTTCGTTCCTCTTTTACATAATGCACATTATTTATATTTGGTATAGTGGTCCTAGTCTTTTGGCTTACTAAATTAGGCATTGGGGGAATCAATGACAATGTGTAAAATGTGGTAACCCACAGAGACCAATCACAGTCTACCTTTTATCAGTTTTTAGAACAATTAAATGCATTTGGTTGCTCTACTAAGTATGGCCACAGACAGGCAAGATGTTCCACTGATAACACCACCAAACCTGCAGGTTCTAAAGCTGGCCATACATTTTTGATGGAACGCTCATACGAAAAGTCTCATAAGAACATTCAATAATGCCATTAGAGAGTTATAGAATATAGAAATTTTGTTGAATATTAACATTCAATTTTGGAAATGAATGGAGTCAAATGAAAGCCACAATTACTGTTTGTCATTGGAGAAAAAAGTTCCATCATGCTCCTTTTTGAGCCACCATGGTCCAAATCTATCAATGATTTGACCCCATTAACTATTAGAAAATTGCCCCCAAAATATATGGCTTTCTAATTAAATTCTACTGGTGTACGACCTGTCTAAGACCCCGTTCACACCGGGGCGGTTCGGACGCACGGATCTGCCGACATGAACAATCCCATACATTGCTATGGGGACCTTCATACGACTGCGAGATCCAAACCATATACCCCGCATATACAATCCCCCACCCCCCCGCCCAAACTGCTCCCCGCACTATTTTTGCCGTGCTGATCAGTGCGGTTTCCATACAGCTTTCAATGGAACTGGGCTGATCAGCATGGTTTGGGGCGTTTTTAATTACGTTTCAGCACTGAAACACATTTAAAAACTCCCAAAACCTCCCTTTTGAGATCAGTGCGGTAACTGCGCTGACCTGCAACCGCCCTGTTGTGAATGGCTTCTAATGGTCTACACTCCGAAAGAACCAATAAAATGCAGATTTTCACTTGTTAGAGACACTCAGTAACAATCTAGATTTGCCAATAGAATCATTTTTCCATGTAAATATTGAGATTTGCCAATAGAATCGTCTTGATGTGAGAAAGTTCAATGTAAGAATTAGTGTGTATTCACAAGACACAAACACATTGGGTAACTGTGAACAAAAACATGCCAAACTTTGAATGCTAAATAGAACAATGACAATGAATTGCCAGCAAAACTAGTCATATCAGTTACCAGCATGTTTGTATCCTTTTAGGATTACATTCAGCATTGTAGATTGTTAACTCTCACAAGCAGGGTCCTTCAAATCCGTTGTATGATATTGTATTGTAATTATATTGTCTCCCTATATGTTGTAAAGTGCTGCACAAACTGTTGGTGCTATATAAACCCTGAGTAATAATATTAATAATAATATACTTTTTACTAATTTTAGAGAGGTGTGCAAGAAGTGGGATACAATGGATCACAGTTTTACAATCACCCAGATAAAACACTAAAGTTTCAGTCTGAAATTGCTTTCACACCTATATAGGAGAATACTAATAGTCTAAACTGGGATGGATTCAGATTCAACCGTTTCCCTAGCTTGCAAGCTGTCAGTAGACAAGATCTCTCAAACTGTTTTAATGTTTCTACATGAGTGTTGTGCTTGTTTAAAATGACTTAAGTTATGTTAGATAACTTCACACACAAGTACTGTGCAGTTGAAGGCATGGATATCTGTTGGGTACTCAAACAGAAATTAGCACTTACCTGCAATATTGGACATAGGGTATATGAATCTGGGGTACGAAGGTATCTTTCACAGTTCCTGATTGGAAGGCAATTTGCTGGTGGCCATTGAGGCTCAAGGGTTGGTGGTGGTTTTGGGAAGTGGTGGAAGAAGTGGGCAAAACGTGAATGGTATTATCAGATGATTTACCTAGGGCAGATCTGAAATTTTCATATGTTGTTGCAGCCTCGGTTTTACACATATATTCCAGAGATTGGTCAGTACCTAGCGGTGATGGTAATCCATAATTTCGATACAAGGTGCTTTGTTCTGGAGGTTTAATTAAAGAGTCCTCAGAATCTTCCTGTTTGACTTTGCCATCATGGTGTGAGCAGGAACTGTGACCAGGGTATGGGGATAAATGTTGGGATGAGCTTGGGGGAGATCTCTGCTCACTACCATCATTGTCCTCAATACGCCTGGTCTGTGCAGGCAGGTACATCGTACTTCCAGGCAACATGGGCATACTGCTTTGGTTTTCATCAACTGGCATAAGTAGATGCCTAGAAGTCAATAATCCATGGCTCCCACCCTTCCCTTCCAATGGATCTTCTCTAGTATACTCCAGTGTGGCTTTGTCCTGCTCTTTAGGCACAAAAGTAGGAATGCTCTTTTTTTCAGCAGCTGTGGCCCCAGTCCAAACTCCAGCCTCCTCTTTGTCAGCTGTGGGGTCACTAAGGGTCTTGGTTGAAGTAGCAGGTGTTAAAGAGATTTGCTGTAACTCTGGAATGACATAATCAGCCCATGGGTGAAGGTGACTGGATGATGAGGTGTCCAGGATGGAGTCCAAGACATTCTCCAGCTCATTGTTATCACAGGATCCTGGTCCTCCTCCCCTCTTCTGATAGGAGACCTCATCTTCTGGTCTCTGAAAGATCAGGCTGTCCAATGAAATGTCCTCAGGGTCTGCCATCTCCTCCAGGAAGTCCACCTGGTTACTTCCATGGCTACCTGTGTAGTCGTTAGATTCCATTTCTGGGAACCTAGGGACTGTTGAGTACTGCTTGGTCTTTTCATCCATGGCTGTGTGTTACCAACTTATTCCACCGGGTACCATCAGCGTTTATAAACTTGAAAAATTTATGGAACAGCGCAGAGTTATTGATCCAGAATATAACTGGGTAGAAAAATGTATTCAAATCCTCCAAATCCAACAAAAAAAGTTCGTTCCCAACTAGCGCTAGTCTTCCCCTGCCAACTTCTCTCACCTCGGGTGGACTGGCACTGCGTTTCCTGGGTGCCCAGCAGTCCGTTATGCACAGCAGAGCTTCTCCAAAGCTGGCAATGCTCTGATCTATCCGATGGAGAAGGCTGGCACTGCTCACCACTGCCCAGTCTGGCTCCGCTGAATGCAATGACAGGCGATGTCTCTGCAGGGTTCAGATGTGGATTGCGCAGTGTTGGATCTCAGGCTTCCTCTGTCTCCTGTCATCCAGCACAATTATAATCGCAGCTGCTGAGATCTATCTCCCGATGCCTCTGTGCTTGCTGATTGCCTTGAGCTCTCCCTAGATTTCAGTTTATTGCATTTTGCTCCGTTGTTGCCCCCGTGATATTTCCCATACAAACTTCACCCACGTCCATCGTGGTGTCCCCCTTCTACTTTCCCCGGGTGCAGG